AACTGACATTTAAGATTGCTCATATAAATCTCAGCAAATGGGATGTGTGTCACTTAGTGTGAGCATATGCCTTTGTATCAGTCTTGACTACTGACAGCTGTCCAGGATAATCCCTGTAGTTTTGACAAAATTTCAGAAGTGGTTTGTCACTGCTTGCTTCCTAAGGCTGAAGTAGAATGACAGACTCAAGATCACCCAATTGGCTTTGTCCCTAAGGTTAGACTAGAACTCGCAATCTCTAACCTGGTATCTTAACCACTACATCAAACTGACTCTCTTTGAATTTTACTCTTTAAAAAAAATTCACATACTAAGAGCAGGCTACTTTGAAATCAAGCTGGAAGCCAGACCTTTTGTAGTTTGTAGTGATATTTTCACAGCAAAGTTTTATGAAATGAAGAAGGCTATTCCACCTGATAGAAATAAAGGAAAGGTCTTCAAAATTTAATATTGAAAGAAAAATTAAAAATTGAATTGGCTGCAGTGAAAACTTACTGAGTGGAGAAACAAGCCTGCCAAAGAAACTACGATGGATGGGAACCAGGAAAGGATAGCATAAAGGGAGGATGTAAGATAAACACGTAGGCAAAACATTATCTGGGTCTCCAGAATTGGGAAAGGAAGAATACAAGTTATAAAAACAGCTATAAGAGGAAATGGCTAGCCAGGGAAACTTAATTGAATTGAAAAACAGGAAAGAATCTATTGTTCTAAAAAAGGCCATAAATTTAATAGATTATTAATTAGTTATTAATCATATTCAATTAAGAAAATGTTGGAAATATTAAATAGGCAGGAAGAGTGAAAAGAGGCAGAAAGCCTAGTCTCAGAAACCAGCTAGTACAAATACAGAAAACTGTTCCAAAAGAAATAACCATTTCTCTTCTCTTAGAAAAGTCAAGCTGGATAATAAAAGTACTAGAGAAGAGGGGGGTTTTTTCTCTCCTCTCCCTTCCTCCCCCTCCAGGGCAGACAGCCAAGAAACAGCAAAAGATACAATGTAGCAACAAGCACTAGCCTTGAATCAACAATAAAGAACTGACAGAATTGCCCTATACCTGTGATGGTGAACCTTTTAGAGACCGAGTGCCCAAACTGCAACCCGAAACCCACTTATGCATCGTCGAGTGCTGGGTGGGTGTGGCCCATTGGGTGAGTATGGCCCATTGGGTGGGCTTGGCTGCAGTAGTAACGGCAGACTGGGTGGGACTAAAAAGTTCAATCAATCAATTCCAACTTTGCAAGATCTTTTTTTTCCCCGCAAGAAGTTGAAATTGACTGATTGAACTTTTTTTTTTTTTTTGCACACGGTGGCGGAGGCCTAAAGCGAAAAGGTTTTATAAAACCCAGCTGAAGGCCTAGGACTGGGGCGACGGCGCATGTGCCCACAGAGAGGGCTCTGAGTGCCGCCTTTGACACCCGTGCCATAGGTTCACCACCACTGCCCTATACACATATAGAAACCAATGACAAGATTACCCAAAAAACACACCTGAACCAGTGGTGGGAATCAGCCAGTTCACACCACTTCGGCAGAACTGGTAGCTAATTTTTTGTTGCCCAGGCCCAGAATGGACTTCCAGAAGCGGCATTCACACATAGAACCGGTTGTTCACATATTTGAATCCTACCACTGACCAGAACCCATGACAGGAGTAACCTAAAACACACAAAAAACCCCATCAGCAAGCTATCTCATCCCCTTGGTGATCGGATTAAAACTTTCTGACAGGAAAAAGAGCAGGCTAGGAAATTAAGAAAAATAAACTTCTTAGAAATCTCACCAAGACTTCAACAGGAAGAAAGAGTATAAAAATGTACCATGTACTTAGATGGCTTTTGCTAGCTAGCCCAGAATCCAGTGCAGAATCACTATTTTGTCTGGCTTCTGAATTAAAATCCACTTTCTGGCAGCTTGCTTCGCTTGGTGTCTATTTTTGTGCGCACTGAAGGCTTGTTCCCAGCTGGAGAAACGAACCGGAGAGAATTTCTTCCCACAAATATCGGAGCTCAAAATAACTAATTCAATATGTCTAATATTTTATATTAGTAATGTACATGTGATGTATGTTTTAGTATGTAGCAGGAAATAGGTGGAAGGCAGTTGGAAAGAGTGTAATCTCATATTACCTCAGCCAATGGGGAACAAGGAGGGATGTGGCAGCAGGACAGGGCTGTATAAAGAAGGGAATATTTTGGGTTGAAATTTTGGAGAGAACCAAGCTTTGATAGCTTCTCTCCCCACTTATTGCAATAAATGAAACAAAAGGCCTTCACTGTGTCTTGGCTGGTTATGGGTCAGGTGAGTTTGCCTCTGGTCATGAAGGAAAGTGGCCAGGAGCATATAACAGACCTCTTTCTGAAGAAGGTACACAATTGCTTGCTTTTGACTTCTGATTCCGTCCATTGCAACATTGCTCTTTGTTTTCCTCTTAAGGATGCACAATAAGAGGAAATCAATATTGCTGAACTAGCAATTGTGACTTAGCTCTATTTTCTTCCTCACACTGCTTACAATGCAATAGCTTAAGCAGAAAAGGAAAAGTCAACATTTAACTACACATTACTTTAAAACAAAATCCATTTTAAGTTCCCCTGCTTCGGCATGACCTAGCTAGTTGCACTGTCATTGCAGAGTTCATTTTCTTTTTCTTTGGAATTGTTTCTGCCTTACAGTCTTTTTTCATTTTATATTTTAACCTGAGAGATCTCAAAATGGGCTGGTAGGCAGACAGAAGTTAAAATGGAATTTATATTTAAATGATGCTTTTCATATCCCTTCCTGAATCATTGTCTGGGGCTTGACTACGGCAGCGTGTAAAAATTGAGAGCATGGTTGGTCATTTTTTTTAATGCATTTTAAAAGTAAATTTGTTTGGTTTTCTACTTTTAATTTAGAAAATAAGCAAAATATCAATATCTAGAAATTTAAAAAGATACTTTTAAAAAACTGAAAGGCAACCACTATCTAGAATGAGATTCAGAAACATTGCCATGCAATATAAAAACCATAGTTGAAAATGTGTGGATTGTGAGGGTATTTTGTTTGTGAACATATAGATTATATACAGTAGTTATTGGTGTTCCCTAAGCTTGACTGTTTGTTTGCAGATGTTTTAATACCCATCTAGGTAATATCAATGTGGGATTTGCTCCCTTTTTATATACAGTAGCTTGCCTACCACTTTTGGAGGTGTATGCTTTTTCTTTGATAGTTCTTTAATTAGGGCATTGTTTTATGCAGTGCTTTTTTTCTAAAAAAAAAAAAAAAAGTGCCGGAACTCATACACATCATACAACCCACCTTGCCTACCCTACAAGGTTCCATCCAAAAAAGGTGCCAGAACTCCGTTCTGGGCGTTCTATGAGAAAAAAAGCCCTGGTTTTATGTTTCATTGTTTGTCTGGTATTAATTTCTGCTTATCTGCGTGTTGGTTGCTGGAGAGCATGTTTTTTGTTTCTTTCTTAGATTTTTTTTATCTCTTTTGAAAGGTGTGTAAATGTGGTTTATCTCTATGTGTCTGTTGAAAGCTGATTTTAGCTGAATGTCAAGCTTTCAGAAATTCCCTAACAGTTTTGGATTAAATAAGATGTTAATAGTTTTCCAGATGAAAAGGTGGTTGAGTCTGCCCATGTGCTGTAAGATTAAGGAGTTTTCATCATGTATTCTGACTATTAATTGGTGTTTATATATGTGCTCTGTCAGTTTTCTGCCTATTTGTCCTATATATATTTGTCCCAGATGTGAGGCAGGCCCACATTCTCCTGCCCTTCCATAAAGGGGGAAAAGCCTTAAATGGGGGGCACAGAAGACCATGCAACCATGGGGCTGGCCGGCCAAAGAGAACCCACACACACCTGTATAAACTATTGCTAAAAGCCCATCTAGCGATTTTTCACCTTTTGAAACTTTATATTGTTATATTTTATAATTTTTTTTTATGTTTTATAAATTTTATATATTGTTTATATGTTGATTACATTGTATACCACCCAGAGCCTCTCTCTGAGGGAGATGGGTGGTTAAGAAATAGGAAATATAACTAACTAACTAACCAACCAACCAACCAACCAACCAACTACTAACTACTAACTAACTAACTACTAACTAACTAACTAACTAAATAAATAAATACTATTACAGTTCTTCCAATGTATGTTGTAGATTACTCTTTTCTTCTTCTAGGTCTACTGGGTCTTTCGATTTGCTTAAGAAATTTTGAGAGCTTTGGTTGGTTCATATGCTACAGTGATACTGTGTGATTGTAACAGTCTGTTGGTTGTTTCTAAGAGGTTTCTGACATATGGCAGTGTTTTTCTACCATGGTTTATCTCTATGTTTATTGCTGGCTAATCACCCTTTCCCCCAGCCATGGTCTGATTTTATGATCAAGGCATACAGGCTGTGTCCTTATGCTCTTACTGAATGGCAAGAATTTTTTAGGAAGCATTTTATACAGAGACTATCAGGACACAAAGTCTTTTCAAAGAAAAAAAACAATTTTCCATGTTTTCTCCAAGTTTTACATTAAAAAAAGCAAACCAAATGAAGAGAAGGCCATTAGAATGCTAAGTAAAAGGGATGGCATTTTGCTAGATGACTCCACTGGTGGGATTTCTGGATCCATTTACATTATTTAAAATATGAAGATGAACTGTGGGATGTTTGAATGTACACATAAGGTCTCAAAATATATTAAAAGCCAGACTAAGAAATTCATGGATTTAGCTGCAGAATTACAAAATAACTAAATCCTGGCAATTGGCAGTAATAGTAAATAATCATTTGGGATTTACCATATTTTCCGGCGTATAAGACGACTTTCTAAACCCTGAAAATCTTCTCAAAAGCCGGGGGTCATCTTATACGCCCAGTCGTCTTATACGCCGGAAAATACGGTATAACAGTAATGTCTTTAAAAATGAGATATAAGACATCTCTGGTAAAATCTGAAGGATTTGGCAATTAGGCCCTCAGCTCTTCTGTGCTGTGAGGACTTTTAGAAGATCATTGGAATATATCTTTCACAGATATAGTAGCATGAGTATGTGCAGTAAACATCGTTCCATTCTCCATTGTCCCAGAGATGCGCGCAATCTTCATTTGAGTGATCGTTATTAGGTTCCCCATGCTTCCAGTACCTAAGATAAAAACACAATAGTATTTTAAACAATAGTCCACTAAAGTCTAAAGCCTAAAGTCTACAAAAGCTTGAACAGTAATGAATTTTTTTATTCTATAAGGTGCCAAAAAAAAATTTTCTTTGCCGTTTTGGAAATGATCAGATGACTCGTAACAAGCTGTTGGTTAAAAAGCAGCAAAACAGATGTGGGAATGGAGATGCAGACTAAGCTTTCGATGACAAAGTGTCCGGTTGCAGAGGCAGAATCATGTGGTTTTGTCCCTACGTTTGACCAGGATAGTAGTGTTACCTGTTGTTCCCCCGAAATTCCTCTCCATGTGGCTAATAGCACCTCTGCAGGAAATGTTCAGCCAGAAAACCACAGAGAAAGAACAGATAACTGCTCACATGGATCCTGTCTGGATTGGTGTACCAATTACTGTTTAGATTTTTTTAGTGGAATGTTCCAGCTATATCGTTGCCGTTGGCAACCATTCAGTTGTATCCGACTCTCGGCCACTCTATGGATCAGCACTCTCCATGCCCCTCTGCCTCGCACCGCCTCCTTCAGATCCGCCATGGTTATCCCACTGTCATCCTTTATAGCAGGGGTAGGCAACCTTGGCTCTTTTACGACTCATGGACTTCAACTCCCAGAATTCCTAAGGCAGCACAGCTGGCTCAGGAATTCTGGGAGTTGAAGTCCACGAGTCGTAAAAGAGTCAAGGTTGCCTACCCCTGCTTTATAGTGTCAGGTATAGCCAGCAGGTACTAGGTATAGTGTCAGGTATAGCCAGCAGGTACTAGGACGGCCCCTTCTCCTTTTTCCGCTGATCACTCTCAGCATGATTGTCTTTTTGTGTGAGTTGCTCTCATGACATAACCAGAGTATGACAGCCCATGTTTGGCTTCAAGTGATATTTTTGGTGAAGTTTGGTCTAGGACTTCTTTGTTATTTTTGCAGTTCATGGGATGCATAATAGTTGCCTCCAGCACCACAGATCAGAGATTTAATTCTATATTTAAAATAATGTACAATTTGATATTTTAGAAAAGAGGACTATAATCTGAAGCTCTAGAGCTGCATGCAAACCCTTTCCCAAAAGATTTTGTTATAGTCCCAGAAACCTCTAAAAATTATCACTAAATTGTAATTTGAAAGAAGGGGAGAGTTATTAAATGCATGGATTAATCATCTTGGCAAGAGCGTCTTTTAACAAAACGTAAATCAAATCAAATTAAAATTTAAAAAGGGCAGGGGCCTTTTTCCTGCCTTATCTGTTCTCCGTAATAAAATTTAGAACTGGAGAATAGCCAAGGTACAATTCTGAGTTCAGATTAATAACATTTGTTAGGATAAAGACTGAAGTGAGAACACTTTGCTTTCAAATACAGAATCTATATATAGGCCAAAATATTAGATTTTGGCTTTCTTCTTCTTGCATTTTGGTGTAACAAGCAGATCTTCTCAAGACATCTGCCTCTAAAATTTATTGGTTACTCTAATGGTTACTAGTCACATTCTATTTTAAAAGAAGCTTTTGAGAGATTATATTTGGGAAAACATTCTGTTTGACACTTAGGATCTGGAGACAGGCAAACAAAATTCAACGTTCAGTGCTTACTTGAAGCCGAGTCTATAATTAGTACTATCCACCCATTTCCATTCTCCTTCTATTTCTATATCTGTAAGTCCTATCCAATAACGCTCATTCTTGGCTCGTGTCTGAACGAAAATCTGCAAAAGAAAAAGATAAAGAAGTACAGAAAAAGGTGTGAATATTGAGGTAATGTGAAATCAGCTTCTTCGACCACTATTTTGTTATCGGGGTGCACAAACATGGATTTGTTTGTAATCAAAAGGGTGATAGGAGTAAATGAAACGTCTTCAAAATTTAAAATTGTAAGAGGAATTAATTGTAAGAGGAATTAGTTGTAAGAGGAATTAGCTGTAAGAGGAAGTAGCTGAAAGAGGAAATAGCTGGCTTAAAGGTAAAACAAAATGAATTGAAAAACAGAAAAGACAAAAATAGGAAATTTACCAAACTGAATAACAGGAAAACTAACCAAATTGAATATTGTTGTAAGAGTCCATAAAATAAACAGGAACTAGAGAACAAGGCAACAGATCATGCTCAATATGCTATTGAATATTATTTGGCACACCTTGCATACATTATCTGATCATTTAAATGCACATGCAATGTATGATTTAGTATATTTGGGGGAGTAGTAGGAAATATGTAGAAGGCAGTCATAGAAAATGTAATCTCATAGTACCTCAGCCAACGGGGAACGAGGAGGGCGGCCTGGGTAGGGAATGTATAAAGATGTTGATTTGAAATGATGAACTTTGGAGAGAACCAAGCCTTGATGGCTTCTCCCTGCTTATTGCAATAAATGAAACAAAAGGCCTTCAGTATGACTTGGCTGATTATTGGACAGACAAGCTTGCCACTGGTTGTGAAGGAAAGTAGCCAAGCACCTCCTACGAGTACAGATCAAGCAGTGATTGGTAGCAGCAAACATCTGTGCTAGAATTAACTAGAAACTTTGTTGACCTAGGACAGGCATGTCAAACTTGCCGGCAATGGGGTGGGTGCGGTTTCGGCGTGATGCATCTGGCCTGCGGGCCAGCAATTTGACGTGCCTGACCTAGGAGGAGAGCATTTGATAAGGTAAGATGAGATGAGATGAGATGAGATGAGATGAGATGAGATAAGATAAGATAAGATAAGATAAGATAAGATAAGATAAGATAAGATAAGATAAGATAAGATAAGATAAGATAACCTTTATTGTCATTTTTTTACTGTGGGCACAACGGCATACATCAAAAATGAAATTTAGTTGCCCGCTCTATATGTTGGCAAATAATCAGGAATTTGGTAGCATCTTTTCTGACTAACACATTTTATTTAAAAGCTTCAGTTCACTTCATGAGATGCATAGGTGAGCCTAGCTTAGACCAGCATGGGTAGAATACAGAGCTTTGGATAGATGATAGTTAGATTGTAATGGCCCATGTTGTGCTGGATCAGTTTCTTAAAATGGACTCATCTGGAAGCTCAAAAGCAATCAAAGGCAACTGCACATGTGAAGAGCTTTCGTGGTTTCTAAGGTCAATCTAAGTTACCCAGACCTAATCCACATATCAAAGGATAAGGTCTTTAAACACAGAGTTAATTAAATTAGATCTCCCAGTGGAACTGCATGTGCACAAGAATAAACATACCTATACACACACACACGCCCCTCAAGCATCACCCTAGAATCAGAATGTAGACACTTCCACAATCTCCCCTATTTAATCGGGTCACTGTGCCCCATTTCTCTGCAGCTGCCCCTAAGTACAAACTGTTTTGCTTTTAGGAATAAATATTTCTTCTTTCCTCCCAGCTGTCTGGATCTCATTTTTATTTATTCTTGCGCAGCCCCGGCTTGAGTTGGAACCCCAAATTATTATTCTGACAGTTCCTAAATGCAAAAGGGCCAGCATTTCTTTCACTTTCACAGCTAGTAAGGGGCTTTTAAGTACAGCAGAGGGATGGCATCTTTTCCCTTACCATAAATGCTCAGGTGTTTTTTTTTCTCTCCAAGAAATGCATGCTTTATATCGTAAAAACCTGGATGAAGGCCTGCTAGCAATGTATTTCATTTGTTGCATGAAGTGGGAATGATGTGAAGGGATTTTAAAACTCCACAAACTGCAATATCTTGTGACAGGTCATGTTTGAATAATATTTTTTTGTACTTTCTTATTGGTCAACTAAAGAAAAACCTACAACGTTCAGTCCCTGTTCTCTGTGTTTTGAAGCTGGAGGAGTGAAGGCCTAGCGCAGGGGTAGGCAACCTTGGCTCTTTTAGGACTCGTGGACTTCAACTCCCAGAATTCCTGAGCCAGCCTGGCTCAGGAATTCTGGGAGTTGAAGTCCACGAGTCCTAAAAGAGCCAAGGTTGCCTACCCCTGGCCTAACACATGTCCAGTTTAAGACATGTTAATGAGAGACTGGGGAGTGGTATGGTGTCAAGATGAGCTGTAGAAATGTTTGACTGAATTCATGTATGGTGTTAAGATGTGTTTTATTTGGTTTTGGCTTAGCCTGCTATATGAGTCTAGCCCCTGGTTTGAAAACTAGACCTTATTAGTAATTTTACTATGCAAATCCATACAATCCTGTCTGATATAATCAAATAAATAAGTTAAATAAATTATATTTTACATAATTTGTCACTCGAGTCATACGGCTGCTTAGAAATCTATTAGGCTGCATGTGAGCAACATGTGTTATGAGGGCCACATGCAACACAGAGTTCTTTAATATAGCTCAAGAGCCAAATCTCTCTCTCCCTCCTCCCCCTCCCCTCCAGTAAACCAAACTGATTGAGCCAGTGAGGAGAGCAGTGTTTCCTTGAGGAGGATGGCACCTAAGAATAATCATTTTTAAGTGCCACGTTCCTTGTACAGATAGTTCTGTCTGATTACAGTTTTGCAGAAAGGATGGTGGGCAAAAATTCCATCTCTTCCATGAAAATAACTCTCCCACTAGCCTGACTAAGTTATGGAATAAGCTTGGAGGATACTAAGGAAGGCATGCATGGACAATTAATCATCCAGTCCCAGATTTCAGCCTATTTACTCTGAACACATGTAAGTGAGAGCTTATGGGTGACTAAGGAAACGGTACTATTTTTCAAATTGTGTTATGTGTAATTTGAGAAAAAGATTTGGGATTTTAATTTAAGGTAGGAGAAAAGGGAGATGACAGTTCTGAACTAAAGGTGCTTTCCAAAAGGCAACTGATTTTTTCCCCCTTGAAAACGTGTTGCTTCTCATCCAAGAAGCTTCTTCAGTGATAGTATGATAGCATGATATAGCATGATGATAGCATGATAGCAGTGTTCCAATATCTAAGGGCTGCCACAAAGAAGACGGGGTTAATCTATTCTCCAAAACATCTGAAGGCAAAACAAGAAGCAATGCATGGAAATTTATCAAAGTGAGAAGAAACCTAGAACTAAGGGGAAATTTCCTGACAGTGAGAACAATTAATGAGTGCTCCAACAGTGGAAGTTTTTAAGAAGAGATTGGACAACCATTTGTCTGAAGTGGTAGAGTTTCCTGTTTGAGCAGGGAGGTGGGCTAGAAGACCTTCAAGGTTCCTTCTGACTCTGTTATTCTGTTAATCTGTTATTCAGTTCTTCAGCTTGTTGGATGAGAAGTGAAATGTCCTCAAGGAAAAAAGAAAAGAAAAGTCCAGTTGCCTTTTGGAAAGCATGTTTGGGATAACCATGACTTGGATGACTGAGAGGACAGCTCTGACCACATGCATGACTGATGCACATTACTGACAAATGTCATGTATCCCCTTGGAGCAAAAAGTTTGCCCATCCATGCAACCTTTAGCCTTTATAAAAATATGAATGCGATTTGGTGCCATGAGTTTTGTAAGCTTTTAAGTGCCCACTCATCCATCCGTAGATCCCTTGAGTCATATGTCTCACAAGGATATTCTGGCTGCCACTAATTTTGTCTTATTTATTCCATTTGTTTACCATAACATTTGCTTGCCATTTTTTCTGCTAGAAACTCAAGATGGTAGATACAATTATTTTGCTTTCTCTCTCTCTCTCTCTCTCTCTCTCTCTCTCTCTCTCTCTCCCCCCCCCCCTCATTTCATTTTATTCTTGCAGGAAGATAGATTAGGTTGAGAAAATACATTTGAATCAAAACAACTTCCTAAGATTCATGGCTGGGTGGGGATTTATGCTTGTGTCTCCCTAGTCTGAATCCACCTTGCATGTAGACATGGCAGAGAAGAGTCCCTCTGAACGTAGCAAGCTACTTGACCTTTCATATTCTCCATATCTCATACTTATGAGATCTGTCTGCTCTCCAAGGAAGCAACCACAGTCCCCTCTTTCTACCTGTTCGGCCATATCATCGATGACAACCAGATGTGCACGATTGTCCCTGCATTGATCGTTGGCCCATCTCCAGGTACCCTTCCTCAGAGAGAAGAAATAACATTTCCCATCAAAGTACTGCCACTGTGTGTGATTAGGGCCACAAGGGAACACTGGTTAAAAAAAAGAGAGTGTTAATTCAAACTGGAATCCTGATTTGTTTAACATACAATCTCCATGACTTTTGGTTAATTGCAATTTTCATCTCCATTTTTGAGTCAGAATTCCAGGTTTTCCTTTGGCAGATCCAACCTACCAAGCACGTAATACCAGAACCAATCTGAAACTTTTGGGGCAGAAAGATAGAATATGTATAAATTGAAGTGGGGGAAATTAAGGAAGTATAACCTATGCACTTTTGGATTCACGCTTGGGATCTTGTCAAGCAATGAAAGATCTGGAGACATCTGACTTGCTAAGTTTTTTATTTGGCTGCTAGATTCTGAAAGTCATCGCAAAATAAATTCCTAACATGCCACAAGCTGAAATCTCAAATTGCCAACTAAGCAGAAACAAGCCAAGTTTATTTAATCCACTAGGTGGCTGCCTGGCACTGCATTGAAAGGAAGCATTGATTAATTTCATAAAATGAGAGAAAATCTCTTTGAAAGTAAGCCACAGACATCTCATGTCATCTTCTGGAATGATTCTTTAATTTTTAATTACTATCAACAATGGTTCAATCTTATAGGTATGGAATAGATGTGAAAGATGATAAGTGGTTAATGACTCCCAGGGTCCCTGTGGCTGATGGCCAAAACCATTTTTATTAAATAAACATTTTAAGCATATTTAATCTGATTAATTTATTTCCTAAGGAGGAAAAAAAACACACAGAATCATACCTCTGTCTCAAATCTTGGACTGTGTGTCACTTTCCTATGAAAAATCCTTCTCTATGGAAAATTTAACTCTCTCCCTGATGTTTTGACAAATAGCATCCTGATGGAGAGAGTTTAACTTTGTGGGCCAGGACTTTGGCAGAAAACAGCACAAGGTTTAGATCGAGACCCAAGGTGCCTTTTCATAGTAATCAAGGTGTGCAATTTGGCTCACGAGAACTAAAGTCAACATTATTGTTCATTCTCCATTTGCTGATTTGCATTGGGTGGACTGTGAATTAGTGGCTTTTTTAAAAAAACAACAATAACAACAACAGACTCATGGAAAACAAACCTATTAAAGTTTACTGTCTTGAAAACTCTGAAAACTTTATCATCACTGTCCCAATTGAAGTCCTTGGCTAATGGGGAAGAATATGTATTATCTTTTTTTTAAAGTTACAGTTCTAACTCCATTTTTTTCCTGTTAGGTAGGGATTAAAAAGTGCCCAGTGCAGATGAAGCAACTACGATGACAAAGGTTCAGTGAAGGTTTTGCCTAAACCTTCAGAGAACCAGTCTGCTCTCCAACTTTGCAGCATTTCTTATAAAGGAGAAAAGTGTAAAGGACAGAAGACCCCTTCCACCTAGTTCTAGGAGTTAGCCATGGCCCTTCCAGTATCCACCAGTATATTCTCTTTTTCCTTCTGTGAAATAGAGCTACTAAGCAACAGAGGTAATAAATACAGAAAACAATAAAAAAGGAATCTTACAGCTGTGATTATTTAGAGAGCTGAAAATTTAGTGAAACAATGCTGTTGTTTTATAGCTGGGAACTCTAGGAAGATAACAAGAAAGGGTTACCATCAAGACTTACATGCGTCATCAAGGGCATTTTTTGGTTGTATAAAGTGCCTAAAGTTACTTAGTTTGTCCATTTCTGATGAAAGAGTTGTGACTGAAAAAATACAACAAAGGGAGGGAAGGTCAGCATTTAGAATCAGTAACTTTTCATATTCTAAAACTGATAATAAAGCGTTAACTTCTGCCAGCTGGGTTGACTCATCTAGCTTATAATGGTTTAGGAGTGTGCAAGTTCCTAGCTATTGGGATTTGTAAACTACAATAGCAATAGCAATAGCACTTAGACTTATTTACACCCCCTCCATAGTGCTTTACAGTACTCTCTGGGCTGTTTACAATGTCAGCATTTGCCCTTAACATAATGGTCCTCATTTTACCAATCTCGGAAGGACTGAAGGCTGAGTCAAGCTTGGGCCCCATCAGGATCAAACTCCTGGCTGTGGGCAGAGTTAGCCTGCAATACTGCACTCTAACCACTGTGCCACCAGGGCTCCTGTATATGTCTTAGAATGCTGAATGGACCCAGTCCACACTTTCAAGTATGCAGGACTTATGAGCCCTCACATTTCCTACAGTTTGCAATTGTTAACTTTGTAGGAATTCAAGATGCTGGGCAACAAGACCACAGTGCAGAATTCTGCATAGATGCACAGGCTATTTATTAGAAGCATTCCAAGATGAGGAGCAGCCTGGACATAGCAGATTGACAGCTCATTCCAACCAATGCAATGGATCTCCTGTCAATAGCAGAGCCCATTTGGTGGAGCTAGGTGGAACTGGCAGATAACCAGCAGTCAGGTCTGAAGGGGCCTTTGATGGAATCAATGGCATAACCATTCTGGCTGGAGGAGTGAAAGGTGATTCCATCAACAAGTAATTGATCCTAGAAATTGTGACATCAAAGAAGTACACATAAGCCGACTGTGCCCAGACTCTTAGACATCAGAGGAAAATTACATTAACCCCAGAGATGGGCAACAAGAGAATTTTACTCCAGGGCATGTGACTGCCCAGGCTCAAAAACAAGATTTCATCTCAGGTTCTAGCAACTTGCAGAGCCCCCTGAACAACAACTGCCACCCCTTCCTCTCCCCTACCTGGAGAACATGGCTGATGCCAGTCTTAATTTCCAGGTAGGCATTTTTGTGAGACAGGCACTTGCTTCTACTTCCCCCCTTCAGTTTTTAGTGTTACAAACCACCATCAAGGCCTGGATGAGGAAAGTTATATTGCAGAAAATTAAAAGCAACAGCTGGATCTTATAGGCCTGGTGAACTGTCTCTGAAGTGAGGATCAGGCTATTTGGGGGACTGCCTTTCCCCAATTACATCAGCCTGCCCGTTAGATCTGGCAGAGACAGCATGCTGCAAATACCATCAACTAGAGATCTACATTTGGTGGGTCCCAGGAAACATGCTTTCTCTGCTATGGCATCCACCTTATGGAACATTCTTCCCTCTGAAATTAGATTGGGTTCATCCATTTTGATATTCCAGAAGTCCTGCAAGACCTGGATATGTAATCAGAGCTGGGGTTCCCAGAGAACGGGAGATATGCTCAGATGACTCCATTGTTAATGCCCATGCTTATTCTCTCTTTGCCTACCCCTGGCCTAGAGCTTCAATATTTGTTTTTATAATATTTATTTTTTAAGTTGGTTTTTTTATACTTTTTATCTTTCTTGTTTTTAATGCTTGTTTTTCTATTGCTGAACACCTGGAGTCGCATTTGTGAACTGGCAGCTATACAAATTTTATTGATAAATAATAAATAATTCTGAGAGAACGAAGCATCAACTATTGGAGACAGAAGAGATCTTTACATTGCAGGTCCTAATTCTGAGTTTGGTATCTAAAGAAACCTTTATCAGTAATGCTTAGAGCTAGGAAATACTATTAAAATAAGGGGTGTTACAGTCATAAATTCATTAAATAAGCAGACTTCTGCAAAGTGACAGAAAAGTCGTTTCAAAGAAAACATGGGTATTTGGGAGCATGTCTACTTATGAATTCCTCTCTCAGAAAAATATACATTGATAAAGAGGTTTGACACAAGGCTATTCTCTGTTTGGGGAAAGAAGATGGTGTTATCTCAGGTGTGTGTAAATAGACGAATAATTCAGTAAATATAAACTTAGGAAAAGGGAAACTCATGTTGAAGTTATCTGAAATAGGCAGTTCTGATTCATCTTAGTTGGGATGTTAAGCAATTTTTACAAGCCTTAATATAGAAATATTCTTGGTACGTGATTGTGTGAAAGCTGTGCTGTGCTAAATTAACTGTGTAATCGTTTGCTACCATTTTTATCTATTTTAATCTGTAATAGAATTTTTGCTTCAGTAAAAAGAAGAAAAATGGTTTTTGCCTAAGAAAAAAATGACTTAAAGATAAATACTGCATTTAAGTTCTCAAGAGACTAGTCAAAGAGTACATACAGTACATACCACCCAGTTAGGTTGCTAGTTCAGTGCTATCAGTACTAAAAGTTGGGAGTTCTCCAGCATTTCATTTTTAAATAATGATTTTATTAAAGTCTACAATACAAGAAAAAAGACTAATTCAAACTAAAAAAAATCATTTAAAAAATATAAAAAATAAAGAAAAAAAGAGAAGAGATAGAAAAAATTACACACACACATATACATGTATGTATGTGTGTGTATAAACCCTACTCCCAAAATAAGCCCCAGTTAAGATTGTCAGCCAGACAAACACATTTAGTACCATATTTCCCGCAAAATAAGACCTAAGCAGAAAATAAGCCTTAATGTGTCTTTTGGACCAAAAATTAATATAAGATTTGGTCTTATTTTTGGGGAAATACAGGTATATAAATATAAAGATTACTCCCCCTCCCTCCAGACAGATATAAACAACTTCAGTAAATGTAACACCTTCACTAATATTTTAGTAAAAACAATCTTCTTTCCATATCTCATCAATAATTATAAAATCAAATTAAAATAATTTATAATTTTATAAAAAAATTAAATTATAAAATCATTCAGTCCTAATTTGCAAAAGTCTGTTAAGAGCTACCAGAAATAGTAACAAAATTTCAGATTTTGATCCCCCCCCCTCAGACTTCACATGGAGATGCTAAGGATCTGGGAACTGATCCATGTGAACCATATTCTCCATTATTGAGTTACAGCTACGGCAGCTCTGATATTTTTAGTTGCTCCAGGGCATGGGTGTCCAACCTTTTGGCTTGCCTGGGCCACACTGAATAAAAAGGAATTGTCTTGGGCATCATATAAAATATATATTATTTTAATGGCATATATATATAATAACATAATATCAAATCGTAATGTTAAAAGTTTATGGTCTTGTGGGGCCACATTTTCAGTTCTCCAGGGTTGCATGTGGCCTGTGGCCCACAGGTTGGACATGCCTGCTCTAGTGTTTTCAATCTGCTCACAAATTAATTGCAATTTACCCAGTCATGATGTTAACAGGAAGGAAATAGAGGCAGAATATAATCCCTGGTTAAATAGCTAGAAAAAGTTCCTCCTCAAAACTCTGTCATTTGGCTAGTCAGTGTATATCACCCTTCTCCAATTTGCTTGTTTTCCAGGTGAGCCAGTTCTTATTTCAGTCTCAACCTGTTGGTTGTCCAGAAACTAGACAGCCTCACATGGGTGGATCCTCCCTTAGAAAACTCTTTTTGTGCAGGCTGCATGAGGTTTGTCAGGACTTAGGAATCTCATCCACTTTCTCAAAGGAACTGTCTCACTTCAGGATCCTAAGGGTTATCATCTCAGAAAGCCTAAAAATGGAACATGATTCAGTGTAAATTGGATTCCTTGGATTCTCAACTCTTTTGGCTTTCTGCCACATCAGCTCAAAAATGATGATATGCAGAAGGAGCAGCAAATGCTGGCTGTAGTGTACAAAGCTTTATGGGGTCTTTGACTTGGCACTGCTTCTGTAAAGTTTAAGATTACTCTGTAACTAATAAGAGCATATACCTCTCCACCCTGCTGAAAGAATCCAAGCCAAGGATTACTCAATAAAGAACAAAATTATGAAATACGTACCTTTGGAAAGAACTGCAATGTAGAAAATAACTGTTAGGAGGAAAGAGACTGCCAGCAGAACATAGATATGGAAGTCAGATCTCTGCGTGTAGAAAAGGCAATTCCTTTCTTTAAAAAAAAGAGAGACAGAGAGAGAGAGAGAAGGATGAAAGAAATAGCAGGACATTTGTTGCATTGCTGTTAGGAACCCAGAAAGAAAGTTATCTTTTAATCAGTGAAATCCTGTATGGATTTTTATTCTTGTTGAATGCCCATAGTATGAGCTGAGCCAACATTGCAAAGCTTGATCATCTGTTGGCTGAGCTTGCAGGACATCATGAAGTACTTACTGTTCATTTTCTCGAAATACTGGCTGCGGTTACATTTTATTCCCCTGATCTTTATTGATTGGTGAGATGAGGACTGCCATTATTTGTAAATGATATTATAGGGTGCTCAAAGAATTGTGAGGAGAGCCAGTATGGTCTGGTGGTTAAGGCACCAGCCCAGAAATGGGGAGACTGTGAGTTCTAGTCCCACCTTAAGCACAAAGCTAACTGAGTGACTTTGGGCCAAGGTCAGTCAAGGGCAAACTACAGGTAGTCCTTGACTTGTGATCACAATTGAGCCCAAAATTTCTGTTGCTAAGCAAGACAATTGTTAATGTTGCCCCATTTTACGATCTTTCTTGCCATGGTTGTTAAGTGAATCATTGGACTTGTTAAGTTAGTAACACAGTTATTAAGTGAACCTGTCCTCCCCATTGATTTTGCTTATCAGAAGGTTACAAAAGATATCCACATGACCTCGGGGACACCACAAACATTATAAATATGAGTCAGTTGCCAAGCATCTGAATTTTGATCACATGATTGTGAGGACGCGGCAATGGTCGTATGTGTAAAAAAAATGTCACTTTTTTCAATGCTGTTGTAACTTCTAATGGTCACTAAATGAACTCTTGTAACTCTTGGAAATAATCTTGCATTTCCAAAAAATATGTCCAAGAAAACTTCAGAGTCTTGTCCAGACTGTTGCCAGGAGTCAACACTAACACAAGGGCTCAAAAATTAAAAAAGAAAAAAAAGTGACCTTGAGAACAACTGTATATTGCAATGAGCAAAACATTTTCCCAGAGCTGTTTCTACTTTGTTTAATATAATATTTTATTAGTTTTCTAATTTTACAGTTAAACATTTAAAAAGCAACGTGGTAACTGGGTAATCAATAATTCAATAACATACATAAATCTTTAGCACAAATCTCAAGTTACAACATCAGATATTTCCTCTCTTTTTCCCTTAATATCTACTATCTCATATTAGGCTAATATAGTTATTATTATTATCAACTAAGTAAAACCATGTTTGTTACATTTATCAATAATTTTAGCTTATACATATCTTAATTGTGTTTGCATTCAAACCTTATATACAATCAATATCCTGTTATTGCTTTTTCCCATCAATATTCAAATTAACATTTGACATTTATAATTTCCAAGCTTTAGGTGATGAAAGTTTCCCTTATCTCAACTTTTACCTTTTTCCCTTTTCATAACAAAATCTAATATTCTAAATACACATCTTATCTATTTGCATGTAATCTTATTCTATTTTCTAAAAGTTATCTATTTTCCATCATATTAAACCAAAAGTCTATTAGTCTTATTACACATCTTGCCTATTCAATTATAATGTTACTTTATTTTCTAAAAATTATCTATTTTCCACCATATTCAACCCTCTAACCAGTAATATGAAATCCCCTCTAATAAATCAAAACCCTAGTTTCTTTCAGCCTTACTCTGGCTTTCTTCCTTTGCCAACTAACCTTCCATTTTTGAAGGTTTTGAATCTTCAAACAGTTCTCCCTCTATTATTATATATATTATTTGAAATAAGAAAGACCATTTGGCTACAGTTTTTTTTTTTTTTGGAAGAACTAGCCATTTGTATTCATTAGATCACCTCCCTATTAATCCAATTTCCCACAGTTGTCCTGATAGGTTTACCTTCCATTCAATCTGTTCTTCTTCCTTTTTCTCAAATTTCTTCTGATTTATGTAAAAAGACTTTTCCATTTTCAATGTTGTCACTCCCTTTTCTGATTTTTCCATTGGCTGGATCTGTTGGTCAATTGGGTCCTCAGTATTTAGTTTTCCACTTTTCCTGTTATTTTCTGCATTGTTAGTTCTTTGGTTGTAGTCAAGATCTGGGTTTACATATCTAAGCTGGTATCTTGTTCCTTTATGTTGCATCTTATTGTGTCACAAGCTGAAAGAATGGTTTCGTATATTGATTTCAACATAGAAAGGATTTTTTCCTGATCTTCATCCATATTCTCTTGATAATGTGTTAAGTTGAAGACTTTAAAATCAAATGTTAAAAATAGTTTTTTGTTTTTTATAAGTAGTACGAGACATCTATTTCATGTGTTATAAGTAGTCTTTATAGTGGAAATTGTTTGCCAAGTAAGAATTTATAGTCCAAAGTATTCCATCATCTCGTGTAATAACAGATGTTTCTCATGTAAAGAAATAGGAAAGCAATTCCCCACATATAACTCTGAAAATCAGTAAAGGTTTATCTTCATAGTTCAAACAGGCCAGATATGCCACCCTGAAGTTCCTTCTTTACAGCTGAGTTTTTCACAGGTGGTATCTGTCAAGGTCAAAAGAGTTTTTTCTAGAGTCTGGGCTTCAAGCCAAGTCTCTTTTAGGAAATAACAAGTTGTAATACCATACTTCACCACAAGATGTCACCAATGCCATTTAACACTTTTTGAGTTCAAAGTTTTTATAATAGTTTTTCAAGGTTTATTTCTTTTCTTTTTAGATAAAAACAAACGTCTCCAGTAAAAATAGGAAAACTTTTAGTCCCCAAATTTCAAAAGCATATGTATCCAATTAGATTAAAATTGTTCTTATAGTTGCTCTGTTTCCCCTGAATAGTCAGTCGCTGCTGTTCTTAGAGGGTGGGGTAGAAATTCCCTTCCCTCTCTCCTCACAGGGGGAAAAATACTCTGGGCAGCTTTTACAGGAAAAGGTATTTAAAGTCTTAGAAGATCAGATCTCACCCAGTTTCATCTGTGTTGCTTTAAAGGTGCTTGATAGTCATTTTGAGTTCGGCTGTCAGCAGCTTAGTGATGAGCCATATTGCTATGGCCGGTCTTTCCCCCGCCAGTTTGAAGGGCTGCCCTGGATCAAGTGGAAGGGCTGCCACCCTCCTGCGATCAAGCGGGGGTCCCCTCCTTGCTCATCGCCCCTACAGGGTGACTTTCGACCCTTCCCAGGGTCCCCCAGCGGGTCGAATTCCGCAGCACTGCGATGGCAAACCGGAAGTCCCAGAGCTGTTTCTATTTGAGCACTATAGGAAATAACTAGATGAACCAGAGAACAGTTGGTATGCTATAAAATAAGTTACCATATTAAGAAAAAGAAACCTCCTTGTGTGTCTCTATTTGTATGAGTTTGTGAAGCAACAAGTAGCAAAGGGATTGCTTGTTCTGTTCCCGAGTGGTAGCTTTCTCTCAAATGAAGTTTGAAAAATTGTAAAAGTTTTGTTTTGTTGCCTTTATTTGCAGCTCCTCAGAGAATATAACAGACAAGTAATATAAACTTAATAAGCTAAATAAAAACAAAATAGTTACAAAGAAAAACATCACTGCACTAAGAGCTGTATCTTAGTTTAACTATGCAGTAAATATATTCCCACATCTCAAAGGGTAAACATACTAATCTGTCATGCATGTGTTCTAATTTAACCAATTTTTGTTAGGGGCACAGTTCAGCACTAAAAGTTACTATGGGGCTCTTAACCTAACCATTTGGTTTATAGGCTAAGTCACCAGGCTAGAAGCCTGGAAATTGTAAATCCTGAACCCATGTTAGGTACAAAGCCAGCTGGGTGACCTTAGGCCAATCACTGTCTCTCAGCCATAGGAAGATGGCAAGGGAAAGCCACTTTTGAAAATTTTCTTCCAAAATTTCAGGGAGTAGTGTAGTCTAGGTGGTCAAAGAGGACTTGAAGGCACATGCACACACGCAAAAATATGTGTGCAGGAGAGATTCTTGGATTTGGAAACTCTACTATTCTAGCTGAAAATCCACATATGCACATGATGGAAATGAGGAAAGCCCATTAACCCACTCAATATATCAACAGAACAACCCACCAATGAAAGTATGTCTTCAGAGCAACCAAATCAGGGTAGCAATTGGCTTAGAACTCCTTAAGATGTCTGCTCTCTAACTGCATTACAACTCAACATGCATAATTAGAAACATTTTAAATCGGTTTTATTTTCTGAATCTTTAATTTTGGCCCTTTATACATTACGAAAGAAAATGAAAGAAGAGCTGCAATAGAGGATTGTCCTCCAGCCTCTTTTCAAATAGAGGTCTGCCTCCGGAAAATATGATAAACACTACTTACGTACACCAACTCTATGATTACAAATTTAAAAATGTAAATTTTAAATCTCAATTTCAAATGAAATCTGACTCTTTAGCTGTTGATTACTGATTGCCAAGAAGGAAAAAAAAATATTTACTTTTATTAGTGCGAAGATCATCTTGAAATATTTCATCCTCCATTTGGTTTTGTAAAATAAGGACACTGCAGTTCACCTTGTCAATTCTACTGAGAGATCAAGCTGCAACTGCTAGCAGCAGAACAGTTTACATCCCAGCTCTGGTGCCCTCTGACCACAACTTTTTTCTTTCTTTGTTTTTTAATATGGTCACCTCCTACAACCACATTGATTGAGCATTACAGTATTAAAAAAAAAAAAAATCTGCTCTTGGGCAATTTGCTAATGATTTGTTTTTCCTGTTCAAAGGCCAGAAATCGATAGTTTTACCTCCTTGTATGAATCAGTTGCTTTCTAAGTGAGTAGACTTAAAAACTGTCATGTTTTATTTTTTCCCCATGATATTATAATTAGAGGAAAAAAAAGACTTTCATGTTATCTCAGTTATGGAAACCAGTAGCTTAAGTAATGATTGAGGCAGATGGGGTCTTTTCAAGTTGTTTGGCATGTATAGCCCAAACTCTAAAAGACTTGGGTATCTGATATTTGAAGAATCATCTCTTTACCCATGTTGGACTAAGCCAGCAGTTCTCAACCTATGGGTCGCGACCCCATTTGGGGTCGATCGACCATTTCACGGGGGTCACCAAGCAAGGCTGTCCGCCATTTTTTTGTCCGCCATTTTTTCCCCTTTTCTGGCGGGTGCCTTACCTCCCTTGGGCTGGGCCAGCTGGTGGTCGGCCTGCTCCGTCTCTGCCGCTTGCCAGCTACGCCTCGGCTGGCGCAGGGGGCGGAACCACGCATGCGCGGCGCTCCTGGGCAGGGAAAGTCCTCGACTTACGACCGGTTGGGTAGTCCTCGACTTACGACCGGTTTAGTCCTCGACTTACGACCGGTTTAGTCCTCGACTTACAACCGGTTTAGTCCTCGACTTACGACCGGTTGGGGGTTGCGACATTAAAAAGGTTGAGAACCACTGGACTAAGCAAAGCCCAAGCACAAAAAAGATGACAGATGAATCACAAATAATAAAAGATACGCTAAATTCATATCCTAAATAATGGTGCCAAGTTGGATGTCAGCACCCAAATGTCCTCCAGAAAATCTGCATCTTCAGCTTTTTTTTTTTTTTTAATGGGTAGTATTGGAGCCAACTGAACCTCCTGGGGGAGGCTATTCCAGAGGACTATCCCCATTACAGAGAAAAATTGCCTTCAGGCTTTGCTCCCCTCCTCATCTCCCCAAAATGGAAGAGACCAATTGCTTCTCCCAGCATGATTGAAGATGTTGGGCAGGCTCAGGTAGAGAAATGGGGTTTTGCGTATTCATTTGATGTTGCCTTAAGCTTCCCTAAATTCTACTGGCATTAAAGTTGTGTTTTCCCTCTTGTTTCATTCTCTTCCAAGGCTAAATTAAATTTGTTAAGCAAGGTTGAAATGGCAGAAATCCTATGACAGTTCAGTGATGACATAGAAGATTTTAGTAGGCTCACATGATGGGAGTGTCTGGGTGATACTGCTTTGCAACCAACACCTGGAAAAGTTGGCAGTGGTTGATCTAGAGCAGTGGTTCTCAACCTGTGGGTTGGGACCCCATTTGGGGTCGATCGACCATTTCATGGGGGTCGCCAAGCAAGGCTGTCCGCCATTTTTTTTGTCCGCCATTTTTTTCCCCTTTTCCGGCGGGTGCCTTACCTCCCTTGGGCTGGGCCAGCTGGTGGTCGGCCTGCTCCGTCTCTGCCGCTTGCCAGCTACGCCTCGGCCGGCGCAGGGGGCAGAACCATGCATGCGTGGCGCTCCCGGACAGGGAAAGTCCTCGACTTACGACCGGTTGGGTAGTCCTCAACTTACGACCGGTTTAGTCCTCGACTTACGACTGGTTTAGTCCTCGACTTACGACCGGTTTAGTCCTCGACTTACGACCGGTTTAGTCCTCGACTTACAACCGGTTGGGGTCGCGGCATTAAAAAGGTTGAGAACCACTGATCTAGAGACTCATAGCTTGCTTCTCACTCTTGCATCCTAAATGGCCCCTTCAGTCTGAATGCTTGCTCCCTCCTTCTTCCTGGCTGACTTCCATTGTAGAACCTATTATGATTTGGGCTCAATGATATTGAAGGCAAGGCTAGATTATCTCATTGGGTTGTCAATTCTTGAGCGTTAAGAAGTTGGCATATGAATTAGAAATGAGATGATCCAGAATAACTTCCTTTGGAATGAAATCTCTTATCATTGATGAGTGCACTTCTTTTTAGAGCTTCTTCTTTAATGCCATATTTTTTCTGCGGGACAAATAATCCATTGAGCAATGAAACCACCTCATCTTAGCACTTTTACTGTGCACTGCTTATTTAGTACCACAGACAAGTATATACTCAATACTCTGCCATACCTGCATCCTTAGAAGAAGCTGCCATGTTCGGCTGATACTTCTTAATCCATCACTAGAATGTCCCACAATAGCTCCCAAGTCTGATGGGGCCAGAGAATGATACGCCTACATGAATATCAGGCTAGTGATGTCTATTTAACTCTTTAAATAATACTCTATGATTATGAAACAAACTCCTTATTTTCACTGAACCTCCTTTTTATATACTAGGTCACTAAGTCACAAAGAAAAGGGAGCACAAGGATATCTATGGGGGGAGGGGTGGTGAGGTGGTTAAAAAAAAGTCAAGATGGGAACCACAACTGTGTGATCAAAACTCTTCCCCATTTTAACATACATGCAATAAATGTGAAAAAGGATTCAGTTCTTTGTTGACCCCCTGCCCCCTGCAAAAGATGCTCCTGAAAGAACATCCAATATCTGCTATACAATAGAGGTAATACCTTAAAACCGATACTTTCAGGCTCAGATCTATGTTTGCCTTTATTTATACTTTTCATACCATCTTGCTGTAAAGGACCTGACATGGTATACAATATAACCTAAACACATTTTGAAAAAAAAAATCAATCATCTAAAAAGTAAAATGATTAAAAAGTAACTCCCGAGGCTAGATTATGATAGGTTTTTATCTATCTTTTAAAAAAGTTCCTTGGAAGCCCATTGTAACTCTGAAAAGAATGCTCCATATGTAGGACAGGAAGGTGTTACTGCAACCACTGATCACTTTTCAAGAAAATATATTTTAAAGGCTGCCTAGTAACAACAGGGAATGAAAATACTCCTCCCCATTGATTGCTCTGTTTCTCCTAAAAATTGGTAAGATGCTTATATCTTACTCCCGTGGTGGCGAACCTATGGCACGTGTGCCAGAGGAGGCACTCAGAGCCCTCTCTGTGGGTACACACACTATCGTCCCAGTGCCACCTCCCCCACGGCCCCATCCTCACCAGCAGCCCCCACTGCAGGAGAGTCAGCCCCGGGTGCAGCCCGTGCAGAGCAGCACAGGACATGGTAGCCAGGCAGCAGGGACAAGACTCCGCCCTCGTGCTGTCATGCACAGATGATGCTGTGGGGTGTGGGCGGAGGGCGTGGCCAGGATGGCGCTGCTGGGCCGCCTGGGCGATCTGCTGCGGCGGGCCATAGAGGCAGTGGGTGGCCCTGCGGGTAGTCGGGGTGGGGGGCAGGGCAGGGGGTGGGGGGCAGGGCAGGGGGTGGGGGGGCGGGGGTAGGGCAGTTTTGGGGCACTCGGTCTCTAAAAGGTTCGCCATCACTGTCTTACTCAATTGGCTATTCACTTTCTTTTTGCCCCACTGGTTAGTTCTTCTAGCCCTCTGAGTCCCTTCTTAATTCTCACCTGGTTCTTAACATGGGTTTCCAGACCAGTGGAAGGAGGGGATTTCCTAGCAGTCTTTTTGAGGATGAGTTTTGCTTCATGGCTTGAGAAAAGGAAATTGGGAACTTATTCCCCATTCCACTCTCTAGGAATCGTTGGGAGGGATTTTTGGAATGGTGGGAAATAAAAGGCTGAAAAGAACTGAGAAGACTGGAAAAAGCTTTTTAAAAAAGGCAAAAGGAGAGCTTGTGGCTTCAGAAATATTTCAGCAGTGTCTGCTACAATTTCAGAAGGTCAGCCATTGTGATAGAGCACGGGAAAGATCTGCATTCCACACTTGGAATACTGCATCCAGTTCTGGTCATCACAATATAAAAAAGATATTGAAACAGAGAAGAGAGAAGAGCAACAAAAATTATTAGAGGGCTGGAGGCTAAAACATACGAAGAACGATGGCAGAAACTGGGTATGTCTAGGACTAGGGGAGAGATGATAGCGGTGTTCCAATAATTGAGGGGCTCCTACAAAGACAAGGGTGTCAAACTATTTTCCAAAGCACCAGAAGGCAAGACAAGGAACAATAGATGGAAACTAACCAAGGAGACAAGCAACCTTAGAACTACAGTGAAATTTTGTAACAGTGAGAACAATCGACCAGTGGAATGACTTGTGTTGTGTTCTTTGTATTCCCCCCCCCCTTAATCCCCTATGCATATCCTGATCACCCATTAAGGGTGATTGCCTTTCACTATTGATCGCCCATTAAGGGTGATTGCCCTTCACCATTGATCGCCCATTAAGGGTGATTGCCCTTCTCCATCTGCATACAGTTTCATGCCCGTTGCTGGTTGGCTAACTAGCAACAGGGTCTTGCCAGCCAATGGAATTGTGTGATTACAAGCCAGGGGAATCCCATAAAAGAGGGCTCCCCTGGCCCAGAGAG